TTTCAGGATAATTGGCGAGCTTTACTATTCACCGAGTATTTTTTCAAGATAAATATTTATCAGATTCGGACTCTAAAAGAAGTTTCATAAAACTGGCAAAATCATGCCGAAACGTAAGTCGATGAGGAATGCCAGTGTTGATAGCAGTGTTGTAGAAAACAATGATCATAGTGATGAAGATGAAAATGATCATGAAGTTATGTGGGTACCCGATGATGATAATAGTGACGTAGAAGGTCTCGATAATGACGGAGAAGCTGATGGAACTTCTAGATTCACTGATGCAGTAGCCTTATCTTATGAAGAAGTGTATCAAAATTTTTTCGCGAACGACAAAAAGTTAGAAGCCTCACATAAATACGAATGGATAGATCAAGAAAGACCATACGATGTTCAACTTGAATCAGAAATATATAATTTTGAAGCAATAAAACAAAATGTACCAGGAAAGGAACCTCGAGAATTATTTGAAATGTTTTTTTGTGATAGAATGAGAGATTACATTATTGAAGCGACAACTGAAAATGGATTTGAAATAGATCCAGATCATTTCAACAAATTTTTAGGTATTATCATTTTTTCCACTTCCAATATTCGTAAAAGCTATAGAGATTACTGGTCGACTGATGAAATGTGGCATTCCGATGTTGTTTTAGAAACGATGAATAGAAATTTGTTTGAAAAAATTAAGTCCAATTTGAAAACTTCGAAAAATTCGGATAAGACTGATTATGACAAAGTTTGTAAAGTTCGTGTAATTTTAAACATTTTCAGAGAAAATGTAAAACAGTTTGGATTTTTTTGCTCTTCTTTATCAATAGATGAAATGATGATTAAATTTTTCGGTCGCACGCTTCTAAAACGATTCATCAAAGACAAACCAATACGTTTTGGAATAAAATTATGGGCCCTTTGTACTTCTAATGGATTTGTTTTAGAAATAGATATCTATTGTGGAAAAAATGATTGTCAAAGTGACACGAAGTTCTCTAAATGCAGTGTAGGATCTCGGGCAGTGATGAATATGCTTCATGTTTTTCTAACATCGGTCGATAAGAATGATGTAGCTAAATATCATCTATATTTTGATAGATTTTTCACATCCCCTGATTTACTGGTACACTTGAAAAAACAAAACCTGCGTGCAACAGGTACGGTTAGAGATGATCGTGTTTTTACAAAGGAGATGTTTCCAAAAGTGTTGGATAAATCAAGTAAAAACTCGAAAACATTGATCAAAAATCCCGAACAGAAGACATTGATAGATAAACATAAGCTAGATAAAAAGAAAGCTGTTGGAGGATGTTATGTTGTAAGTCATGATAAAACCAGTGGTATAAATTACATTACGGTAATGGACTCGAAACCAGTGTCCATATTATCTACAGCCGTTGGCGTTACACCTACTATTCCAATGGAACGATTCGATAAAACAGCTAAACGTAAAGTACCAATTGAATTTCCTGGAGCATTCAAGACATACAACAAATTTATGGGAGGAGTTAATCTTCATGATCAATACTGCAGTGATCTAAAAACGAATATTGGTTCAAAGAAATGGACATGGGTTATTTTATGTAGATTGATCGAGTCTTCACTGACAAATGCTTTGATTTTGTACAATATGGTGAACAAAAAGAGAATGTCTAGTAAAGATTTTGCAAAAAGTGTTGCAAAGTCTTATTTAGAGCAACCGATTGAAAAGTTATCAAAGCATTTGAAACTCACAATACCTGATCGTAGACGAATGTGTATAAAGTGTACCATAAGAACAATATTTTATTGCTATGAGTGCAAAACTTATTTCTGTGATACTTGTTTCAGAGAGTATCATCATATCCACAATAAATCCACAAAATCTTCACAAAGAATATGCAAAGCTAGCAATGACTGCAAGAAACGTACGAATATTTATTGCGAACAATGTCAAGAGTATCTATGTGGAAATTGTTTTGACTCTTACCATCTTGAAAAAACAGGTACGCTTGATGAATAATTTCTTCCACTATTGCATCAATTATTTTGGAAAATACTAGAAAAAGTGCTAAAAATTCAAGACAAAATGTAGCACTTAGATTTGCGATTTTATCAACACAAACTGATTTTGGTATTACCGACGCCATATTGGATCCGCCATTTTGTAAAATTGAAATTGACACTAGCATTGTATTCAGCGACATCGAAAGTATAGGTAGTATATATTCATTCTCTAAATCGGCTTTTATTTAGAAAATTTTAGATTTCCCCGCTTGTCAACATGTTGCTGGCCGCCATCTTGGAAAAATGTTCCAGGAAAATTCGTAATGCCTAGGTTTATCAAAGAACTAACATTTTCAATGTAAATCTACATTTTCATCCTGATTCTATAAATTTCAGCAACTAATTTCTGAAAGAAAAATTCTAATGTAATACTAAATTTTCATCAACATTCAAGACGCCATTTTGTAATTTTCCGTGAAAAATATCCTAATTCTGACTGCAGATTCGTAAAGAGCGGGAAATTTTACAATAGAAAAGTGACTTCTAGTATACATTTTCGATTATTTTGAGGTTTTCCTCGGTCAAAAACAAATCGACTATAAAATGGCGCCTTGCGAAGAAATGGGTTAATGCGCTACGATCGCTGTTGTATATTTGAATTTGCAATATATATATTTGTTGCATAATTACTAGCGATATTTACTTGTAAATTAAATTAAACTAATAAATACATATTTAATAACTATAATAACTTGAGATTCGAGATCAGCGCATGAAAATTGACTGAAAAATGCTTTTGTTCATTAGAGAAAACTTTGGAATTGTCGTAAATTAGAAGAGCACCTTCGCTCAAGTACCGCTTTCCTTCAGTTTTCTTGCGTAGGACGGGTTGCTATTTTGCAGTGAGAGAAAAGGCAAATCAGACTGGACCGTTACACTGTAGAGAAAACCAAAGTCTTTTCTTTTTTTTTTTTTTTATTTAAAGTAACTCGTGCTTTAATTCCAGAGGTATTTAGAACAATGTCATTGTACTTAGAATTTGTATCAGTAGACTTTTTTTTAAGAGAAATGATATTATTTGATTTTGTTACTTTTGAGGTATTTTATCTACAAATTTGAAAATATTATCATGAGCAGTGGTTGAATAAACACCTTTGCAACTGTGTCGTACATCCTTGCCTAGCTTTTGGAAACAATTTTTACATGTATCCATAAAATTTTAGGTACGATTGCTTCGCATTTAGATAGCCGTAAATTTTACGTATAGTACCTTCGAGGCCATTATCTTTAATGATTTTAGAGCCAGGAAAAATATGCGTGTGGCCTCTACCGTTCTTTACTTTTACGTGTCCTTTAAATTGGATGGTCAAGCATACATAGCAATTAAAGACATTTTTCTAGTTTTTTTGGTTAAATTAATGTCCTGATAATTAGGCATGATTGGAAGAGGTCTTTTCATAACACCTTTCTCACGTTCAATAATAAAATTTTAGCAAGAGCTACAAATACTCTTCTGAAACCTAAATATCAAACTGATTATAAGATATTTCTTTATTAAATTATTTAGATGTTCGGTTATTGCAAAGTCAGAAAATTTGCGCATACCAAAAATAATTTTTCTTCTTCTTATGGTGCACATACTTCAACTCTATTCTCCTCGTGATCGTATTTATGATCTATGTGTGAATGAATATCATTTCGCAAAAAATTACTTTGATCCATGACGAGAAAGTTGCCGATGTATTATAAAATTGGAATTATTTAATGTTAGATTATTTATTTTATTGCGGGTGCAAAAATTATTATATATCCCACCTATCGGGGATTATTGGAACCTTAATATAATACCAATTCCTTACAATATATATAGGTATGCATACATACAAATGTAGTACTAAATTTTCACGATATATTTTTTTATTGACGTACGCATGTGTATCTTAAAGCACTCACTACTTAACATATTGATTGTACAATATGTATTGTTGATAACTTTACGAAAATGAGATTATAATACTCCTTTCATTGATTGTAAGAAAATAAATGGAAATTTTCGAATAAAAAGTGAAAAATACGTATAACATTCGAACAGGATCAGGTAGGATTTTGATTCGAACAATTTTTTTATCCATAATCAACCTATTAAACAGTAGTACAATTGGATTTGGTAACTATTTTAATGTAACCTATCTCGACTTCAGGCCCACCGTGACTTGGCGGCATACAAAACCAAAAGAAAGATTCTTATCCCTCATAGTGAATAGCAAAGTTTAGTGGAAGGCTATGAAATAGTTTTCAAATTCATCAATTATATCGGCTTCCAAGCACTAGGTAATCTTCGGTGAAGGATAAATTCATGACTAATGCAAGGTACTTTTCTGTCATCAAAAAACTTTCTCGGTCTATTTCTAAAGTATCTTGTCCACTTTACTTACTGGTAAACATAAATTAGAAACTACGAGGAGAATTTCATCATAAGTAATCGGTTTTAAATTAAAATATTAGTCAGGAACAAATAAGGTCGTGTACGAGGGTGGTTAGTCGCTCGTTAATGAAAGGTGACAGACTAGTAGAAACATCGTTTTATTCGGCTTACAGTCACTACTGCAAAAGTTCACATATGACAATGAAATAATTAAGAGTAAGCTTTTTCTGAAAAGAGGTTTTGTTAAATTTGCACGCAAGGTTTTTCTACTTGTATCCCAATGACGGAAAAGGGATAGAAATAGAAAATGACGACCGCCCGAATCAAAACCTGCTACCTTCAGACCATCACCAGAAAAATCGCTCACTAGCTTACCACCGTTCACCTCCTTTACATGCTGCTGATTGCTAACTTTACCCGTTATCTTCTCTATCTATCAATTGCAATAATGACGTTTACGAGTCGACTTTAACAAGGTTGAAATTTGAAATCAATAAATAAATAAACCATATCACGCGCTATTTTCTTAAGCAATAATGAATTGCCGCATTACAAGTAACATATTTGAATATTAAAAATTATTGAAATACAATACCTTTTCGAGTGTTCTTTCGTAAGTACGGATACTTTCAATCAAACTGATGGCAAACGGATACAGTAAATTTGCTTGATGAGCTTTGTTAACAATAGCGATCGGAACTCGAAATCCAAGATTTTTCAAATTTCTCACTTCTTTTGAAAGTGTTATTATTTCAGGTAAGAAGTTGACTTTTAACTTTAAAATACCACCACGTCCTGTTCTAGATCGCATGTTTTCAATAGTAAAAATACGTCCAGTTACACCAATATTACGTTGCTGAACTTTACGAGCCCATTCATCAAAAATTTCTTGAGTTGAAAGTTTTGTACGAAAACTGTCTCCATCAGCTTTTAGTTTCTGTCCTTCTATATGATTTTCCCAACCTTTACCTGAAAATATTATATTTAATTATAGTTATGTAAAGTAATGATAAATTTTTTAACGATCTTTGTTCAATTTCTTAATGATATTGACTTTTTGATTAGCATATTATTTTAGTTATAATATAAATAACAACCAATATAACATAAGAAATTCTAGTTGGGAGGCTACATTCTACGTATAGCGCTTCTAAGAGGAGGAATAAAAATAGTGATAGTTCAAAAAATAAGAAAGAAAAGTTAATAAAACAGGAAAAATTAGTAGAAAAAAGTAAGGGATTTAAAAAGGTGAAAATAAAAAGTGACAGAAAATAGGAACAGAAAAAACAGGAGATAGAAATCTGACGTTACAAAAGAGGTTAGGAAATACGCCTGAGTGAAGGGACACCGCCTGAGGAGTGAGAGAAACTTGGAGTGCAGCCGGCAGAAAACGAAATTAAAAAGAAAAGGAGAAAATACAGAAAAATTTTAAAAAATAAGGGGAGGAAAATAAATGTGCACGGAAAAGGTAAGGAAAGGTTGGAGAGGGATCAGAGCAAGGATTAAGAGACAGAAAAGGTCACAAAGGTGACGAGGAGGGAGGAAGAGAAAGGAAAGACAAGAGGATGCCGAGGAACGTAATAGCACAGCAGAGATATATCCAGGGTCGACAAAAGGGAGGAAGAGAAACAAGATAAAGAAGAGACATTTTTTGACACTGTGGCATCACTAGAACTGATCAACGTAAACAACGAGAGATAAAATGAAGAGATAGAGGGTATCAGTACTAGAGAGAAAGAGAGAGAGAGGAGAAGCAAGCGAGCAGAACATAGGGATGAACGCCAAGTACAGGGATTGCAAAGAGTTAAGAGGAAAATTAAAGAAAATAGAAATATTAGATATAGCGATGACGGAGCAGAATAATTGAAAAAATAAGAAAAAAAGAGGATTATTACAGAAAAATTTTGAAAAAAGAATTGAAAAGGTAAGGCAGGAAATCAAAACAGGAAATAATGAGTTTAAAAAATTGTAGGAACCTCTGGAGTAGAAAAGGGAGAAATGAAACTAAGAGATGGCAAATATACGAGAAATAATAGGGACGACCAGTTGGAAAATTAACAGGAGGGATCAAGAGGATAACGAAGAAACAATAGCATAGCAACCCAGAACAGGTGAGGTACGAAAGGCAACAGAGGAAGAACCCTGTAAAGCGAAGAGCGAGAATAAGAGATAGAAAGAGATTGTGTATGGATAAAGCAGGGGTCCCTAAACTACAGGACAAAACCAGACAAGATGCTGAAGAAGGCATTAGAGTGCAAGTTAAGCGAGAATCAGGGAGGAAGCATAATGTACTTGCAAAAGGAACGGGAATCAGAAACAACTAGGATTTGATGAGTAGGTTTAGAGAAAAGCTGTAAGATTTGCTACAGATATTGGTAAGAATATTCAAGCTGGAATGTACTACGAAAGGAATATTGACGATGATGTGTAGTTTATAGAACAAAATAAATGTATTAAAGAAAAGAAAACAACAAAGAAGGATGAAAATAATTATGGAAGATAACACAACCAAGAGAGAGAAGCACAAGAGTTGTTGAAAACAGTGGAAAATGCTGGTAGAGCAAGAGAAAGTATAGTGAGAAGAGGATTCTTGAAAGTAAATATAAAAGGGATATAATATGAGTGAAAGGAGAAAAAAAGAAATTTGGAAGACAAAAGGCGAAGAGAAAGAAAGCAAGCAGGAGCGGAGGAAACATAGGAGGAGAAGGTAGAACTAGAAAAAGACTAATGGAATTATATAGAATGTAGCTAGGATAGTTCATGTGAAAAAGGAACAACAACACTTAGTACGGCATGACATAATAATAGTACAAAAGAGCTGGGTGACAGAGGAGAAAATAAGAAGCGTAATCGGAAACATGAACTTTATTTAGACAGCAAAGGCATGCAATAAATATGACGAAGAAAAGAAGAGCAAGTGCAGGAGTGTTGATGGGAATCAAGAAAAACTTGAAAATAGATAGCGAAATACGAGGGTCGTTTGAAAAGTCCGTGCAAAAATAAAAACTGCTTGATTGTTTTCAATAAATCTTTTTTATTTTTCAACATAGTCTCCTTTTAGGCTTATACACTTCATCCAACACTGCTCTAGTTTGTTAATCCCTTCAAAATAATAGGATTTGTCCAATTCTGTAAAATAAGCATTCGTTTCTGTAATCACCTCCTCGTTTGAATAAAATCTTTTCCCCGCCAGCCATTTTTTCATATTAGGGAACAAACAGTAGTCCGACGGAGCCAAGTCTGGAGAATAGGGGGATGTAAAACAAGTTGGAACCCTCTCTCCATCAGTTTTGTGGCTATAACTGCTGAGGCGTGAGCTGGTGCATTGTCGTGGTGGAAGAGGAGTTTTTTGTGGACCAATCGTGGACGTTTCTCTAGCAACTCGGTTTTCAAACGATCCAATAACGATGAATAATATTCGCCTGTAATGGTTTTACCCTTTTCCAGATAGTCGATGAAGATTATTCCTTGCGAATCCCAAAAGACAGTCGCCATAACCTTCCCGGTCGAAGGAATTGTCTTCGCCTTTTTTGGAGCACATTCCCCCTTGGTAACCCATTGTTTAGACTGTTCTTTGGTCTCAGGAGTGTAGTAATGTATCCAGGTTTCAACTACAGTGATGAAACGATGCTTAAAGTCTTGCGGATTTCGCTGGAACAGCTGCAAACCATTCTTGCAACACTTCACACGATCTCGTTTTTGGTCAATCGTGAGCATTCGCGGCACCCATCTAGCGGATAGCTTTTTCATGTCCAAATGTTGGTGCAAAATATTATGTATCCGTTCGCTCGAGATGCCTACAGTACTAGCAATCTCACGCACCTTCACTCTTCCGTCAGCCATCACCATATCATGGATTTTATCAATGATTTCTGAAGTGGTAATCTCAATAGGGCGCCCAGAATGTTCAACGTCTTTTGTGCTCATATGGCCACTCTGAAAATTTTGAAACCACTTATAAACCATTCTAATCGAAGGTGCATAATCACCATATTGTTTATCAAGCTTCTGTTTAATCTCCTGAGGCGTTTTTCCTTTGAAAAAGTAATGTTTAATCAATACAAGAAATTCTTTTTCGTACATTTTTTTACAACCACTCGATTTCTTTGATTGAAACGAATGTAAAACGCAAAGTAATTGGCCGATTTGGCTGAAACTTGGTGTGTGCTCTTCCAAGATATGCCACTAACTGAAAATAACCTTGATACGCACTAGTAGCGCCATCTCTCTGACTTTGCACGGACTTTTCAAACGACCCCCGTAGAAGAATGGAAGCTTGGGACACGTTATACTAAGGAATTCAGAAGATAGATAAAGAAATAGAGAAGTAGAAAAACTTTTAGAAATGTGCAGAGACACACGGGGTATAAAAAAATTGAAGATGAGAAGGAGACTGTAAGGGAGAGATAACTTACATATGAGAAGGGTGTGGCTTGACCATAATTATATAATTGAAAAACAGGATGTTATAAACGAGATAGTCAATAAATTGAAAGTTGAGAAGAAAACAGCATCAGACCATTTACTGGTATACTTCGAAATTAATTCAGAGAGAAGTATAAACGAAGAAAAAACAACAGTATGGGAAGCAAAATTTTGGCGTCTACATGGAAATAGGAAAAAGTAGAAAAGTAGACAGGGGCAATGATGAATTTAGAAGTAAGCATCAGAAAAGGTAGGACGCAGAAAAAATAGGACAACCTATTGGACGCAATAGAAAAGACAGAACGAGACACAGGAATAATAAAGGAGAGTAACAGGGGGAATAGGGGGACAACCACAAGAAAATAGAATATATGACAAGGAATATAAAGAACAGACTAAAGAGATATCTACTTAAGAATGTGGTGAAAGAGATGTTAGAATTAAAGAAAAAAATTGTTAAGGAGATAGTCTTGGAAAGAGAAAGAAGATAGTGATAGAAATGAAAAGCAGTAGAAAGAAGCAAGAAAGGAGCAAAATTTCGGGAAACATTAACGGAATTTAGAATTAGTAGAAGAATGGAGAATAATATTAAAGAATGGGGCGTCGTGAATTTGACAATATAAAATATCATATAAAATTCCAAATCTACTGATCAAGATACAAATGACAAAGCATGGCCTGTTCGCCAGATTATGAACATATTCAAGAAAAATATCGATCGCTTTGGATATTTTTATACTACTTTTAGTACTGAAAAAATGATGATTAAGTTCTATGGTAAAATTGGTATCAAACAATTCATCTGAGACGAGAGCAAGCGATGCGCTTGTTCTCGTCGGTATTTTTCCCAATTCCCCCTCTCACGGCAAGGCACGATGACCAGCGTTAGGCGAATTTCAGAATGCACCCAATGCATGGTCTTTGTTTCAGTCGACGGAGATTGCCGAGCGAGGCTGAGCCGACCCGAAGCTATTAAGTCGACACAAGAGTATAGGTGTTAGGAAGAGAGAGAGTTAGGGGCGTGCGTGCCCTACGCAGGATTAGGCAGGCGTGTGTCGCGAACCAATTAGCGCATTGGTTGCGCGCCGCCTAATAAGTAGGTCAAGTGGGGTGAGAAAGAAGGAGGAAGAAGCTGTCGATCTCGGAAGCGAACGAGCGACAGAAGGTTTCCAGTCGATCGGAAAAACAGACGGTAGCTAGTCGACGGTTTAGTCGGTCAGCGGTACAGAGTCAAGAGTGCAGTTGAAAACAAAAAGATCAGCCGAACGCACACGCCGCCAAGGAGCCGAAAAGAACCGAGAGGAAAAGAGGACGAGTGCTTTATTCCAGCATCTGCTTGGGACGCTACCCGGAGCAGCCGGCAAGAGTGCACAGTGACGGCCAGCAACACCATCCGTAGGGCGCAGCCAGGCTTCCCGTTCCTGCATCGAAGATCAAAGCTCGTAATCTAATTTCCTCTCTCTCTCTCTCTCTCTCTCTCTCTCTCTCTCTCTCTCTCTCTCTCTCCAGCGGTATGGCACAGCGGGTACAACTATAAGGGTCAG